TGATTCGCTGGAAAACACAGTCCCTGCATGCTTCTGGCACCAGATCGTGCTCCACGCAAATTTGCATGAACGCAGTTTTGCAAAGCTTCGCGGCAAATATCTTTAGGTTGAATCGGTTCTAAATGCCGCCTTCGGTCATCGATCTCAACCAATCGTTGGACAATTTTGTTTTGGCATTTGTTTTGTGCCTCATTTTGTACTTGGCCGTGGAAATCTGACCCGACTGCGGCATTGGCGAGGATGCTAGCGAGGCTGCACGGAAAGCTCTGTATCAGTAGGGCCTCCCAGTGCAGGACTGCAATGGGCTTGAAGGGGAGAATCTTAACCGAAGGACCTGGCAACACATTAACTAGCACAGTGATGTTACCAATATCCGACTTGGTGCTCCATCAACCGGAAATTTGGCTGAGGGTACCGTATCAAACTTGGCCGAGCCCCAAAAGACGGACTCAAGAACACTAAGGTTAGCATGCAAGTGCGACCCTTCAACCCAAACTAGCTGTTGATGAAGCGCCCGTGATAAATCATCAGAACCATCAACGTGCATGTCCACGGGATACCACCCTCGGTCATCAATGGTACAAAATTTGCAAGCATGCTACAAATCCGCACATTTGAAACGGGCTCCCTATGAGGAACCGTATCAGTTCGATCCATCCAAAGGCTGCTAAAACAAAAACACGGTTTCACGGTCAATTATCAAGGGACCTATTTGTCATGCCATATTTGTCATGCCAAGGATTGCCGACAATGAGTGGGTCATTGAGCCCAGCCCTTCGTGAAACTCTTCAGCCACACTGTACTCACCAGTTTCTTGCATAACGCGTCATCATCATGGAAACCGGCTAATGCTACAGTCCACTTGGACGCCTGACTTACGATTTTGTTGAAACCCTCAGCGTAGCCACCAATGGATGCAGGCTGTACATTGCATTGCCCTCCAAGGGCAGGATTCTTCGTGCGCCCCCTGCAACACCGCTAAAACCGGCATTGGTTGCAATGAAATCGGCAGCGCAATCAAACGGAAGACATTGAACGATTTCATTGATCGTAAACGGCAAGGCCGCAAATGAGCGACTGACCTGCTAATCTTTTGCTCGGTCATAACAATTAGATCGCTTTGCTGCCCAGCTCGTCAATTTGACTTTGCAAGTCGGGACCCAAAGTTCTTACTTCGCATCTGCCGGCAAAGGCTCGCCATCAAGCCGTACACCGCTCAAACCAAAGCAAGTTCGCCCAACCAGCATGACCGAATGAAAGCTTCCGCACCAGATCATTTGTCACCATTTCAGTTTCATGCATGATGGCATCATCGCTGTCCATCTTTCGGACATGAGGTTGACTGATGCTTCCAAATGCGCCCACGAGTCGGAGTGCAATTGGCTATATGTTTGTTGCCGCGGGCCCTGCGCGCCCGGCATGGCAGGATATTGTGAAGCCTGCTCAAGCAGCTGTCGCCCATGGCCTTGTGCTAGGTACGGTTCGATGACGTCCTTGGCAGGAGCTGTTGCCACCGAGCGTAGTTGCTTGAAGGTCACCTCTCCACAAACACGTGTCGTTCCAACGCTCGAACTTCGTTCTTTGGCTTCAATTGGCCGAGCCCACGTTGCGCTTCATTCACCTGCAATGAATGAAGCTGCGGTTGCACCAGCTGCTGTACTGACTGCTGCGTAGCATGCTGGTTTGCCACAGGGCAATCAACGGGTCGCTGCTACCTCCATGCAACCCAAACCCGGTGGTGGCTGCGCCGCTTGTGAACTTTGGGATGCATCTGCCTGACTATTGGTCCACGGATTCCACTGTGACGGCTGTGATTTGACCCTTGGTGAGGACATGGCTTGCCCACAGCGTCTCACAACTGGCTCAAAATTCCCAGCGCAACCGCCCCCAGAATTTGTATTCGCAAGCGCTCACAGCACAGGGTATTTCAGCCAGGAACGTTCGAACATTTGACTGAATTGTTCTTTGGCCTTGAGCCAGTCATGTGAAACATGCATTTTCTGTGATTCATGCTTAGGCACACATCACACCTCCATGGTGGCACATATTCAGTCATCATGAAGTTCACTTTGCTACACCATCAATCCAGAAACTCTGGCTCAGGAACAAATTTCAAGACTCAAGATTTGGTGGGGCCGCAACAGGTGCCCGCTGCTGCCGGCAAAGGTACCTTGTGCAAGCGCCCTTTGTGGCGCCGCATGGACGCACTTGAGCGAGTGCTAACAAGCGAGGCAAACAAGCACTCGGGAATCAACACCGGCAGGCGTGACATTTTCTTGGAAAGGTAGGACCGCCAGCTGCCCGCGAAAGCTCGTCACCTTTGAGCACGCAGTGCTAGGTTGACGTGACTGCGGCGGCGCATTCCCGCCACGAAGGGACGGGTGCATCAAGCGGCCTAGCGCCGCTGCTAAGACGAAACACAGCATTTCCGAGGGCGCGGCGCCTGCTTGCGTGGGAACGCTCTCAACTCGGCTTCGCCCCCTGTTTGAAAGGCCTTCAACATTTTGTTCGCCGAGTTTCCTTCGGGCGCCTGTGAGGCAGGTGTGTCCCTGGAGCGTGTGCTGGCCCATTCCCACAACACGACGGCCGCCGGCAGAGCCGCCCCCAAGAGCAACCACCGCAATAGTTTTGAAACGTTTTCAGGCTGAAGGCTTCCAGGTTCTTTGCCACCTGTGGAAAATAGTGTTTTTGAGCCCAATACGTTCCCATTTGTGTAGCCTTGCGCGCATGGTTACGCGTCCAAAACAGTTGAGCAAAAGCTGGGCTTCAGGTCGATCAGACCGTGGCCACTGCCACCTCCACCGCCTCCAAGGCAAAAGAGTGATAGCATTGCAGACAGATAGATCACTTCCGGGTCACCAAGCTGAAGATGGAGTTTGGCGACCCCAATTTTCAAAAAGGCATGCGTAAGAAGAGGCAAGAACCAACACAAATCAGCAAAGGAACACCAGCTGTCAGGAGGCGCGTGCGTACGCGTGACGCCGATCCAAGAAGAGGTCGCATGCCGCTGATCAAAGGCGTGCTCTCCGGAAGCGTGCAGCCAGTTGATGACATTGCATGAATGGTCTGCATGGCCGGGACTGAAGGCTCCTTGTGGCCAATCGCGTTGTGTTGGCTTCTCGCCTGCGTGTCCGATTGCAACATGTCACAGATTGTCAAGGGTCCCGCATCCGCATGCAGTAAGCCAGGCGTCAGACCTAGTGAACAGGGAGGCGAGGCATCTTCTGGTTCGGAATGTGCAGTGCGTGCACCTGTTTGACAGCTTGTAGAGTTGCTTGAATAACAAAACCCCTTTCTGTTAGACTGTACCACTGTTGCGGCGTGGCGTTTGAAGATGGGACATTGTTTGATAGGTTGGACATGCAGCGCCGTTGTACGCATGATTCTTCCCTTTGTGCGGAACTGAAACCGTGCGGTCTGCCTCGCGCGCCGCACCGCCCTGTGCTCTGGGGCTGGGGGGCTAAACAAGGACTTGTGGCGGCCATCGTTGCATAGTCCTGTCCTGGTCGGGCGTTCATGCCCCTTGCCTTCCGCCCGCAGGCCATGGCTCCCTTGCCGGCGGACTGGCTGCTCACTGTCGCAACCACCGTTGGCTGCGAGCTCCCAAGTTGGGGTATGGGCCGGCGAGCATGCCGTGACCTCACCTCTCTTTAAGCAACTGCCGTTTAGCACCGCTGCACACTATGATGGCCTCATGCGCCCGCCTGTACCGGGAACCTCTTTCCAGCGAGAATGTCACCAGTGGTGTCCGCACTGGCGAAGCCTCACATCAGGGACCCCCTGATCCCCCGCTATTGTGGTCTGCCTCAACATGTTTTGCCCCACGGTAGCATGCAAGCCCATCTCAACGATCACTGTGCTGGACCCCTCGTCGGGGATGTTTCTGCCGCTTACCTTGCTCAGCATTCTCTCGGCCCTGCCAGGTGTGTGGGCTCCTGGTTTCCCGCCGGCTCAATGGCGTGCACCTTCGCTGTAGGCCTGAAGGCCGGCCCAATCTTATTGGGTCACAACCCAAATCCGCTCAACCAGCCAGCTGTTGGGCCCAGTGTTTGGCCAGGGAAGTTTTTTCGGAAGCCAGTGCCTTTCCCGGATTTCATGGCATCTTGTGCAGTTTCCATGTCATTTTCCATTCTCGTTTTCAGTTCTAAGCAGGGACATCTTGTTGTCAGGAACATCGTAATTAGCAGGGGCCCTCGCCAACGTCGCCGCGCGCCAGTCCTTACAAGCATGGCGCCGGTTCTGCAGCTAGACCACACCGCTGTGGGGCCAACCTTCGGGACGCCACCGCTCAGAACACCACCCGCCGATGCCGTCGTTGTCTCGAGGGGGAACGGGGAGAGCTTTGGGATCCCACCCCACTAGGCCCCCTCCAGGATGATGTTGCCGCCCGGCATGCCCGCTGCGACCTCCTCGCCAGCATGGAATCCAATATCACAAGTTTCAGTTGCACACTTGGACCTAGCCAGCAGAACTATTGCTTTTTCGAATGGAAACAACCATCCTGGAAATTAGGCACATGGGGGTGGCGTTGCTAAGATGCAAAAGCCGGCTTGGATTGAAACATAAACTCCATGGCAGCATGTTGGCCCACATTTGTCTTCATTTGAAAATCCAGCATGAAATGATGCAGTATTGGTTGTGAGCGCTGTGTTCATTTGCTTGCTGCACGCCGCTCAGATGCACCTTGACTTTGTGCACACACAGGAAAAACCGATTATAGAACGTCTGGGGATAGCATACTCAAATTTCTCCATCCGTACACTGGTTCAAGTAGACGTCGGTGTTGTTCGTTGTAGCCAGTGGCACAGCCACCAAGTGATGTGCAGATCAAGAAGTATACAGCGCACAGCCAAACCCAATCACGCAACAGTGTCACCAATTCAAGCTGTGTCCGTTTTCTTTCAGCATCCACATTACGTTCGGGTTGTGTTTGGTGATTTTCCGCTTGCTTGCTCATCCACCGCAAGCACATGGAGATGCAAGTTTGTTGCTGTCCCTGAATGCTCGGGAAGAGGAGGAAAGAGGCTCCTTGCATAGTCATGGGTCAGTTGATGTTGTGATTGCTTTCGTCCTGGATGCACATTTCAGGCCAAGGCCCCGAAAGATGCGGGCAAACCCAAGTGGAAGGAAGAGCTGGCAGATGATGAAAGTGGTGAAGTAACTGCACAGGATATGGAAGATTGGCGCCAGCGTGAGGAGCTGGAGCGAGCAGCGCGAGAGGCACGCGAAGCTAAAGAAGCAGAAGAAAGGAAAAGGCGTGAAGCTGAGCAAGCTGAGCGAGCTGCAGCCAAGGAGCGCGAAAAGGTTGCAAGCCAGTCAAGACAGTCAAGATCTTCCAGGTCATCCAGTAGATCCCGGTCCCGATCCCGGCGGCGTCGCCGATCATCCTCGTCATCATGCACGAGCTCTAGAGGTCGACGGAAAACTGGATGGGATGTGACCGATGACAGCCTTGTGGCGCAAGCTGGACCGCAAATTGCAGAAGTGGCTCAGATTGCCAAGGTGGTGGAGGCAAAGGCAAGGACACCCGTCATTCCTCCGCCACCACCAATTCCATGCCCATGTGGGGACACCAGCCTGCAACCGCCACAAGCACCTGCACTTGCCCACACAGCGATTCTCCAGAAACACGTGCAGCCACCACCGCCCCCTCCACCACCTGCAAATTTTAACGGAGCATTGCTGAATGCGCCGGTATGTGGCCAAATGTGGGAACAAGTGCCCCTGTGTCACCAGGACCTACCGCAGTTGTCGCACTCTCAGCTGCACTTGTCGGCTGGGCAACATCAGCAGATGGCAAGCTCCACACCAGTCCACTGGTCTCCACACGTACAACACGTACACTGGCAGCATCACGTGGATGGCAAAGGTCATTGGAATCAAGTTCATTCAGCTTGGAGCGCTTGTGGATGGCCTGGCCATCCAGCTGCTCCAGCCCACCCAAGCACTTCAGCTCCCTTTCAGGCATCAGGACTGCCAGGACTGCCAGGCTTGGGATGGACACCCGATCGTTGGAACGAGGAAGAGCGCTTCATAGGCAGGGTGAAGAGATTCCAAGATGCTCCTGGAGGCGGTTATGGGTTCATCGATTCTGACGACTGCAAGATGCGCTTTACCCGCGACATCTACATACACCGAAATCAAATGGCCGGCCTGCAGATTGGGGATGAGGTGAGTTTCACCGTCAGCCTAAGCAACAAGGGTGAGCCTCAAGCAAGGAACGTGATGAAACGGGAGGATGCGCTGTTGTTGCGAGCAGGGCAAGCAGGCGTTCTTCACAGCATTGATGCGAGGGACGCGGCCAGCTTGATGGACGAAAACCAGGCAAGGCAGTTCCAAGCAGCTTTGCGTGGCAGCCCCTAACCCAAAACCCGGCAAAGAAAAGTCTGGCATTGCTGTTTGTCAAGGTTTTGCATGGCTGCATGTTCTGCGCTAGCATCAAGTATATGTTAGAGATGCAAGGACACACGGAAGCTTCATTTTTAGCGGACAGTTGGTACGGGCTGTATTAGGGGCAGCGGCACCCAGCAGCATACATTTTAGCAAGAAATTGGGTGGCAGCTTGTGTATGCGTGCTAGTGGCATCGATCCTAAAACATCTTGATGCTCAAGGGTTGAAAGGAACCATTTTGGAAGGGTGAGCTGAGCCCTGCAGAACCTGACTCAGTTAGTGAGCAAGCTGTGGGAGGGCAGCGGTTGCTTTCTGCCGGCACAACCTGACTTGTTCAGCAACGGCTCAATGAAGTTCTCAGCTGGGTGCAATTGGGTTGCCGGCTGGTCCAACAAAAGAGAGTCTGTCGCTTGGCTCGCTAGGCTGTGTGTTTTTCGGTGGTTCAGTGCTTGTGTTGCTTGCACATGCTTGCGTTGAGGTTCCATGCTGGGTCGCTTGCTCTACGTGTTCTGGCCATTTTGCCTTGAGTTCGAAGCCTTTGCTTTGAAAGTTGCAAAGGATCATTTTTTCGAGTCCGACCTTGATGTGGTTGAGCGCAGAATTCGAGAGGGCGACCAGAGAGGTTCCAATGAAGCTTTGCTTGCTGCTGCGGAGCGAGGGAAGCAGCACTTGGCCATGGTCCTGGCAGAACTGGCAGTGCGAGGCTATGACCCTGAGGAGATCCAAGTTTTTCTTTCTGCGCAGTGGAGGAAGCCTTTCTCTGCACTCCCGGGAGTACACCCAGTAAACACCGCCAGCTTTCAGGCCTTGTTGGAGGACATCGAAAAAAATCGTCCAGCAGCAGCCAAAGAGATTATAATTGCAATGGCCAAAGAAGGGGGGCCCCATCGATTAGCTAACAGCTTGAAAGCTTTGCAGCTTCTGGGCTACAACCCCAAAGAGCTGCAGACTTGGATCCAGGGGACATCTGCAGTTATACTGGCCAGAGGCCCCACACGCGTGGCTGCCAGTATGTGGAACATACATTTGCTGCTAGAAGCTCTCCAGCGTGCTGACAAGTCAGGAGTGAAAAATGTGCTCGCTCAAGTTGTCAAAAACGGCGGCACCAAGGAGATGACATGGCTCCTTGGGAGTTTCGCGGCCATGGGCTACAGTTACACTGCACTGCTGCAGTGGCTGCAGTCAGCTGGCACAGCCAAGGCACCAGACTTGCAAATTGAGAGAACAGAAGCGCAGCAAGCGCAGCGTGTGCAGCAGGCGCAGAAAGTGCAGGAACCGGAGAAAACGCAGCATGTGCAGCATGTGCAGCAAGCGCAGCAGGCGCCGGAGCCAGAAGAAGAAGAAGAAGACTTGGACTTCAAGGTGCTAATTGGCGGTATTAAGACTGGAAACAGGCCTCAGGTCAAGGAGTCATTTGCACGAATCTGGAACAAAGGTGGCCTGGAAACCGCGTTTTCAAGGCTTCAAGCCATGGGCTATGATTTGGATGCCATCAAGGAGTGGTATGAGTTTGAGGGGTTTGAGAGGGAGGTACATGCGCCGTTCACAAGCATGGTTGCTGTGAACGAGACGGTGTCTGTTCACATGAACGGCTCCATCATGCTCACCAAAGCCTTTGTTGAATCTGACATGGAAATGGCAAAGACGGCTTTGAAAGGCATGTTACAACGGGATGCCCTTGCCCAGCTCACCCATTTGCATGCACTGGGTTTTAATGTTGCCTCTATGAAGAGGTGGCTGACAGCACATGAGAGGGCGTCCAGCCATGCCTCAACAAACGGAGACTCGCCCTTGAGTGTGTCGGATGGTAGTTTCCAGGAGATCTTAACTGGTCTGCAGCATTCCAACAAGACCCAGGTGATCAAGCAACTTGCGTTCAACTTTCGACGTGGAGGGAAAAGAAGACTTGAAGACCTGTTTTCCAGGTTGGAAATGGCAGGCTACAGTGCCCAAACAGTTCAAGCATGGCTTGGCGACACCAGCCCAGCAGCCCCGTCAAGAGCTAGCATTCGCAACTAGCAATTGGCGGCGAAGTTTCAGCGCTGTCGAGAAAAAGATGGTGGCGAAGCATTGGTGCAGCCGGTTGGGCAACATTTTGCGACTGCATGCAAGCCTTGCCATCCTGGTTGATATGATGGACAAGCCAGCTAATAAAGTTAGGCCTGTCCAATTCCACATGTTTGGTAGCCGCATACTTGTTGCATACCGAAGAGGGCATGATAAAACATGACAGACCAGAATGCACTTTGAACAGCAGGAATTGAAGCACCAACACTTGATCTTCATTGCAGTAGTTGCAACACGTCTGGATGCGACGTTCCAAAGATGCGCAGGCCTTCTCTAGGAAGCTGCGGATCTGTCGAATCCGAATCGAAACATTTGCCAGGGCATCGTTTTGGATGTCCTGTGCGGTGATCGAGGCCTGCAGCGCACATGCTGCGGTTTTGTGGGCATCCGTTAAAGGCAAAAGCTATGAGAAATTGCAAGGTCAATGATTTTTGATGGCCATAGGTGCACTGGTGTTCTGAACGAAAAGCAGCCACAGTAGGAGAAGGGCATATCTTAAGAGAACGCTGCAGAGCAGAACCCGTCTTCGAAACATGCAGAGCTTTGTGCTGTCACAGTAAGAGACCTTGAAGTAAAAACTCTTCTTCTGCTTGCAGCTTTTTCGAAGCGTTTTGTGTTGCGGTGACTGTGCTCTGTGCAGTGCTCTGCCAGCTCTGCATTTTTTGTCACCAATTTCTGCGAGGCTCCGCCGCTCTGACGCCCAGAAGGTGACCGGCTGACCGAAGCCGCTGTAGCGACCGACGACTGCGTCAAGAAGTAGCTAGAGCTGCTGTAGCTGCTGTTGCTTTTGTGCTTCTTTCCTTTCTTCATTTTCCTTCTCTTTCTCTTCTTCGCAGTTCGAATCGCGGGTGCGTGCTGCGCAGGTCCTTTTCCCAGGGCCCCGAGGACCGGACCCAGACGTGGATAGGAAATTAGAAAACGCAACTTCGCTCTTCAGGATCCGCGCCAAAGGAAAACAGGCAAAGCTGCAAAGGCTTTTTCCGGGGCTATGTGGCTTAAATAGCAGGTTCTTTCAGACTAGAACAGGCCATAGATACGGGATGTGGACTTGAAAGGCGACGGCAGCGACTGCAAGGCATGGACCTCGTTTGGCTTCATCGTGAAGACCTGAGATCTTCTTTTCAAAGCGCTAAGCTGCTGAGCTGCTGAGCTGAGCAAAATTGAGGGGTGAGGAGTCGCTGTCACCTTCTCCAGGCCTCTTTCGATTCTAGGTCTGACCAATACAATCGCCCGGCAACAGCTTAGGATAGGTTACAGACACAACAGGACAAGATTGGCCTTTCGCAATTGCGGCTGACTTTGCCGTGTAGAGATTCCACACATCCATTACAAGATGTGCTATGCATATGCGACATGTCTTCTGACGTAGGAAGAGAAGATGCCCGGACGAAACCAAGGCCGCTGGATGCACCATCTGGGCACTAAAGAAAATGTTAGCAGATGTGTTTGGTCATGATTTCTAATTCTATTTGGCCGAATTGGTTCAGACCGTTCATCCATGAACACATCATCAACAAGCCATAAACAAGCCTTCCAAAATCACGGCAGAGCACCCGCGGTGACCTGGTGGTTGCTTTCATGTTGCCGCGGCACCTGCAAGACAGAGCGAGAAAGAGCCTCCAAAGAGCCTCTCTCCAGATGCTTCCTCAAGAACAGTAAAGGATTTGGCTGACTGTTTCAGCAGATTAGACATGTGCTTGACTGACCTGATGGAGTCAGGTTTGTTGTCGTGGCTATGCTCGATGCGGATATGCCGGGAGGGATCATCTTTATACATTTTCTTGGTCATATGCTTAGCGGGGAGCTCATGGTCCACCAGAATCGTTTTCAGTTCAATAAGGTGCCAAGTACTGTAGCTGCCAGAGCCTCCAGCACTTTGATTGAGATTGCCAGCCGCAAAGATTTTGTCGCAGAAGAGCAGGTTTCGCTCCACCGTGAATTCCGCCTGTAGCTAAAGTTCACCTGTGTCATGTTTTGTGCGCTGTTCGATTTGTGACGATTACGATTTTCTTTCATGTTTCCAGCTGGCTGGATAATCTTTCTTTTGATACGAGGGAGGGGTTGCTCGCCACAACATGTGTTTGCTTACACAAGGGCTTGAGAGCGAAGAGTGGCAGGCAGTCTTTCAATTCGGCCCTGACTGACTGGGTGGCCTCCCTTGGAATGGCTGTGGGCGAACACCAACCCCAGCCTTCCTTGACCTTCCAAGGCTTCCTAACAGGGAAGGCTTCGACTCCGTTGGCGTTCCCGGATCTCGATGTGTATGATCGTGTCGGTAACCGCCATGACCTGAACCTTCAGTCTACTTCTCTCAATCTCAACTGGGGCTCCTCACCTGAATCTCCAAAGTATTCATAGACCCACAGTTGCAACTCATGACGGGACTCGGGGCCTGGGCACGAAGAGGGGAATTGACAGAATTCTATTCGCTGCATTGTTGCACCCTATTTCGAATGATGTCCACTTGCGTCGAGAATCTTTGTAGACTGCTGCGCTGCTGGAGTCAACGTGCATTCAACTGCACACTTTGCTCGCTGATCCTCGGTTATGCAATTAACCTGTCTTGGGCACAAGCTGCCAGAATAAAGAACTGCAAGGAGTGCGCTGTACTGTGTTGAGGCTCTCTGCTGGTTGCTGTATCTTGCACGGCTTTGTTTCGCTTGGATTTCAAGGAGGTCCCGGTTCACAGTTCCTGAAAATCATGCGCGGTTCCAAGTCTGAATCCTTTGTGTGCACGGGGGTGCGCGCAATAGCTTCATCACGTTTACAGGATTGCCGCATACTGCACCTGCTTGCAGGCGGGTGCTGGTAGCTCGTCAAGATCCACCTCGTGCAGTTCTCCGCCCTCAACGAGAAGACAGGAGAGCATGTTGAGCAAGGGGACCATTTCGGGAGAGCCAAGGTG